GGGCACGTCAAGATACAGGGGGTACAGTGAGCCTCAAAGCAATGACATTCAGCATTGTAAACGACATTACTGACTTCTGCGATACTACCGTTTGCTGAGGTTCATAAAATGTGTATTCCATTGTGTATTGTAAACATAACATACACTATGCACGCAACAAACACAATACACGCAAACCATTGAAAAACAATCACTGTAGATTACAAAAGAAACTAAAGAAAAATAAATTAAACCTATATTACAAGTCCATTAAAATTTAATAAAATAAATTTAACTGATAATACCAAACTAAAACTGATTAACTTATTACTTTATAAATGTTCACGTAATGTATACTTGAAGAAAGAGATGAAAATGAGCTGGACAAATGAAGCTTAATATTTTCTTGAACAAAATTCACTGTTCTTTTAAATTTTGATAAAAAAAGGTACGCATTCCATTTAAAGAATTCAAGGATCCTTTAATATCTCGTAAACAGATTATTTAAACAAAAGCGTTTCAGTATGATATTGTTCCTTCGATACCGCGTATTTCTATATAAAATACTTTTTTGTGAAATACATACTTTAGAAGTTATTCAGGGTGGACAAGGTATGTGATTCGTCCTGTGTAGGTATACATACTCTCCTTGGAATGAGAAAAGCAAAATAAAAGACCTTCAATATGCGTACGGTTTCCCCGTAAGAGTAAGCTGAATGTAGTAGAGCGAGTTTCGAAGAAGAATTCGCGAAGAATGTTGCGGACATTTGACGAAATGTCTAAGCGTATATTATCGTTCGTTCACACCTTTCCGAATGTGAGGAAGAAAAAAAAATCAAAGAATGAGAGATTTTATTCTAAAAAGAACGAAAAGACGATTTCTAAAAGAGAAAAAAAAAAGAAGGTAGGGACATTTTTTCTCTCCCCGAATTTTGGGTAAGTGCTTTGTCCGGTCCTCGATGTGCTAGGACATCTCTAGGCAGGGTGTTACATTTAAACGAGAACGGTGGAATATTTCACGAGGAATTAAAGCTTTTAAAAAAATGTTCATACAATAGTTGTTTCGTATAAAGGGGCACATTATGTGGTACATACAATTTTTCTATAGGTGTAATAGTGGGGGAGATATGAAAGTCAAGTTAATTTTTATAAATGGAACTCTGCGTTTTTTTTTCTTCATAACATGGTAGCATTTGTTGAGACTAATTCAACGACCTGCTACATCGTATCATTCCTTGTAGTAAAGCCATAAATTATTGGGTTTGAAGTAACGTCACCTTGTATCAGAAGGTATCAGTCAGCTGAACGTCTCGTGACTGTGCTATCTTCTCGTGCCAGACCGATTCAGTTTTTAACCAAGTGTACTTGGTATGGAAATGATGCTACTATTTTAGCAAACATAAAAAATTAAACATTACTTCAGATGGCATTAATAATCGATTTTAATTTTCACTTTCCAGTGGAAAGCTTTCACTATTGAACTCATAATGACAAAAATTTATTAGTAATTTTTTTATATACCTTATGCTTCACCGTGTTCACTATCGTTAAGAATACACTTTTGAAATTTTTTATAAAAATTCTCTTTCGACATTTTTCAATATTCTTTCCGGTATTTTCTGGTAATTGTAATTTTTTGCGTAACTCGTTTATATGTTCTATTGGTGTCTGGACAACTGCCTGTTTCTGATAACTCTATAGGAAGAACTCACATAGTGAAAGATCGGACTGTTACACCCTCAAATATTTTCCTTCTTAGTCCTTAGTTATCTGTATTTACGAGTCACCCACTTTCACCATTACTCATACTGGACTCTTCACCTTCCAACTTTCCTCTCAACTCTCCTGCATAGTCACAACCCAAAGTCCATCTTCCCAGAACTCTCCCGACTAGAAATTTCAGTTAGGCAGACATTAGGTCCGCATTAGGCTAGCCTAATTTGCCTGTTAGGGCCCAATGGGGCAGCCCTATCAGGCCCGCATGCGGTATGTAACGCGGAATATTCACGACCGCCTAATTGGGAAAGCCACGTTAGGGCCGCATTAGGCCCACATTAGCTTTATTAGGCTGTCATTGGGAGACATTAATAAAATTTCAAATCTTGTTGAAAGCTCTCACGCAAGTGTACGTCCAACACTGAGATATCTGTAAATATTCCTACATATAAGTTTCAGAGCCCCACTCCAGCTAAACTCCACCTAATTTAGGGGTGCGCTAGGCCATCCCCATTTCAGCCACGTATGGCAACTGTTAGGGATGCCTAACTTAGGCGTGCGCTCGGCCATCCCCATTTCAGCCACGTACGGCAACAGTTAGGAATGCCCAACTTAGGCATGCATCATTCCTTCCGAATTAGGACCTAATGCGGTAACAATTAGGCTTGCAGCATTTAGGTGTGCCTAATCGTTTCCGCATTAGGCCCACATTCATCTTTAGGCATGCCTAACTGAAATTCTAGTCGGGCTTAAATAGCCCTATTTTCTCCATTTCCGCGTTCATTCTCTGGTTTACCATGTGCACGTCACGTAACGTCAAAATCTCTGTTAAATAAAGTTCTGTTTCTACGCAACGACGATCCTGCTTAAATAGCCCTATTTTCTCCATTTCCGGATTCATTCTCTGGTTTACCATGGGCACGTCACGTAACGTCAAAATCTCTGTTAAATAAAGTTCTGTTTCTACGCAACGACGATCCTGAAGTGTTTTAATTCAGTGATACCCCAATATCTGCTCCTAGTTTCGAGGAATCGGAGCAAACCGGGCATCACAGAACGATCTTGCGGGCCATGCAACTAACCCACCAGGTCCAATCTACTTAGCTTTCAAACCACAGATTTAGCCTTAGCATTGCTGACATGGCATTCAAAATACTGAATAAATACGTTTACAGAAGCCTCAAGTATGTAAGTTTGTGCATTAACATTTTCCTCAGACAAAAAAAAAAGGATCTAATTATTTTTCGGTTATGAATTCCACACCAGACCATAACAGATTATCGGTATTGGTCCAATGCGGATTTTTACAATAGTTGCCCATATCCTTGAATTCTGATGACAAATCATACTGTTTGTATGGAAAATGCATTCATCTGTGGTTATCAGATTGCGAATAAAATTTAAATCATTAACTGTATTGTCGAATATCCCCAAAGGAGAATCTTTTCCATGTCCAAAATCTTGCGGGAAAAGTTTTTGTACATCTGTTACTTTAAATAGTTTCAACTTATTTTTTTTGAAGGATGTCACGAATAACTCTTCTCGGTGGACCACAATCAACTGCTACGTTACGATTTGTATTAAAAGCGGCCAATACATTAATTTCATCATCCTCTCACCACGTACAATGTCGACGTTTTTGCCGTACAGCACTTCCGGTATCCCTGAATAACTGAACAATTCTGTGGAATTCACTACTAATTTCACCGTAGAATAAGTACCCCTCGCCCCGCAGGCGAACTAGTTCTACTTTTTTCTGGATAGTTAACGATGCTATTACCAAGTTGAAAATCACAACCACTAATAATATACTAATAATGAAAAGTACAAACTACAATAATGTTATACACTAAAATACAAACAATAATAATGAAAACTACGGAACAGGCAGTTCGCTTATAAACTGAAATTATTGCTCTTTCGACTTTTTCACTTGTTGAAGACGCATGCTAAACTGGCTATTTGAAGCCAGAGGGATAAATGCAAAAGGCATAAGGGAAGATAAGAAGTTCGATCTTTGTTTACGTCTACAGCGTACAGTTTAATCGGTGTCATTCGATGCTGTTCATTGATGAAGTCACGTACTTACGACACAAGTTGACGTGATTTCGATCCCACTAATTTATGGCTTTACTATTATACAAGGAATGATACGATGTAGCAGGACGTTGAATTCGTCTCAACACCCGCTACCATACTACGAATCAAAAAATGTAGGGTTCTATTTAAAAAAATGAACTTGACTACCCACACAAAATTTGTATAACCACATAATGTGCCCCTTTATACGAAACAACTTTTGTATGAACATTTTTTTGATAGCTTAAATCTCTCGTGAGATATTTCACCATTCTCGTTTAAACGTAACATCCTGCATATATTTTTTATTTTATCTTTTTTATTTATTATTCTTAATCCTTGCTTTTCGGCTTAGGATGGCTTTCGGTTTACATCTTTCTTATACATTTCTAATTTCTTAATCCTATTGCGATCTATCATATATTCATATTACTTTTTATATGTACAAAGTATATCCTTAAATACTACCTTTTGCACTTTCATACCGCCTTTTTCCTTTTGATTCTTGCATATTGTATTCCTATTAACTATTATATATTTAATATCACCTTTTTACATCCTTTATGTTTTGTACTGATTTTTTGCCTTTATCTCCTCTTCTCTGCTCTAATTCTTTCACCTGCATTTTTTGTTACTGATTTTGATATTTCTGTTTAATTTCCACTACTATTTTCATTTCATTTCTTCATATTCTTCCAGTGTGTGTCACATCTCTTCCTTTGCCCAGTGCTGATTTGCATCCGTTTCGTTTCCCACTCTGAACCTGGCTATTAATTCACTCTTCTTTTTCTTACATTCATTTTTTCTATTACTACTTTTGCCAGTTCCTCTCCTTCTTCTTTTATTCCCTCACTGTCATCCCCTTTGCTCCTACCTGATTTAGCAGTACTGCTCTTTTCTTCTCTTATCTGTTATACTTCTCTCACTATCATTCTTCTCTCTCTCAACTTCTTTTATGCATTCCACCTGCCACTTCTTGATACTTTATTGCTATACTAATTGTTTCCATGTTTCCTGCATCTATTCCCATTGTAGCATTCATTGCGCTCCACAACTCGATCACTTAATCTTCTATATTTTATCTCTCTTATACTGTTACGCACTTTCAGTATTATCCCCCCACCCTTCTCGTCCTTCTATTTTTCTTCTCTTTCTTTGCTGGAATGCCTTTTCATCTAAACATGTTTGGTAATTTTCTACCGATGTTTTTCCACATCCCACCATCTGCACATGTTTCTATTAGTGCCACTGTATCGAATTCCTCTTTCCACGTTTCTTCCTCATTCCATATAGCCACCATATTTTAAAAACATACTCTCAACCACTCTTTCATTTTGTCCTCCTGCCACTGATGTGTCTCCCTGATCTGTTTTTTGTCTCCCTCTCCTTTTTCTCTAATCCACCTTCTATCGATATACATTTTCATGTATTCCACTCTCACCTTCCTTCCTTTTTTGGTCTCTTATCTTGTCGTCTCCCTCAATTTATTCTGTATGTCCTGTTGTTTTCATAATTAAGTCATTATCGACATATATTCCTTTCTTGAACTCCCTTTTTTCCCTCATAATCTCCTTCTTCATCTCCCAGTTATCTATTTTTGCTGTCACCATGCGTTTTCCTGTTCTTGTTTTTATTACCTTTGTTTTCCTCTGTGGCATTCATATGTAAATTTTCTTTTAAAAATTCCTTAACCCATTCCAGGGTATTCTCCTCTTCAAGTTTTATTCCTTTTATTACTAAATTATTCTTTCTTTTGCCCCACTCTCTCTTTACATTCATATTTCAAGTTCCATAATTTTTTCCTCGAGAAGTATTTTCTCTTTCTTTCGCTCTTGCCTTTTTTTGTTTGCTTCTTTCATTTCTTTCTTTCATTTTTCAATCTCCTCTAGATACACCTCTTGTCTTTATTTCATCTCTTCTTCTACTCTTTCCATTCTTTTCTCCATATATTTCTTCATCTGCTCTATCTTTTTCAAAATTTTGCCTATTCCCTTACCTATTTCCCCGTCCTTGGTTATATATTTTTCAAATGTTCCCGTTTCCTCCTTATTTCTACTTCCTAACGGCCTGCCTGACGCTCTTTCTGTCCAGTTTCCTAACCTCAACTCCTAACGTATCCCTTTTTGTGTCCCATTCCCCTTGTCCTTCTTTTTCAGCACTTCCGTTTCTTTGCTTTCTTACCTCTATTCCCTTCTTCTTTTCTTTCTTTAACTTTATTTTCTTTTTATTCTTTACTCACTCTCACACTAATTTTTGATGCGATTTCTTACATCCACCTTCACTCATTCAATCTCCAACCGAAAGCCCCACATAAACACACACACACACACATACATTCTCCTTGTTCTCTGGCAAACCAATATCCTACGATGATACTTTATCTGTATCATATTACCAGTGCAGCTGTGTTTTTAATCAGTTACAATTCAGTTGCTATTCCATAAGGCTATTATTACAAGACTTTCCTAACCGTGAAGCAGACAATGTGTCCGAAGCAGAAGTTTATAATGAGAATAACATATTTTCTTGTTATACATAATTTTTAATGTTTTATTTCTCAAGTCTGAACGTTTAGATTTTAGATTAACTTTTAATTTATTTTAAAATGAAATCATTATCCAATAAAAAATATTAACAAATAACTAAGTATACTTTATGAATATGAAATTTATATACACTTTAGCAACTAAAAATTACAACAGTGATGCAGTTATTTGTTGCCAGAAAAGTGAGCTGACTATTTCTAGTGACTATCGCTGCAGCAGCTCGGCCCCACAGAGCGCTCGGCTTCGAACCGCTTCGTCCGCAAAGGGTTAAAAGTCCATTGGATTTACATAAGACTGAATACGACTACTGTATAATTTGTATTATTGATTATTTTTATCGGTGTTTAATATCATAGTATTTATAAACACTGACAGTAGTATAGTCTTAATATTGTAATACATTAAGTTTTTTCACATCATTTGTTTTCTAAAATGTTACAAACATTAAGAAGTTTTATATTAAACGATTTTGTTGCACTCTTTTATTTATTTGTCTACGGAGAATCCTTTCTTTTTTCGTTGTAGCACGAACTATACTCGAAGTTTCAAGACCGATTTTCGCGAAAACGAAAGATTAAATGCAAAAATGTTGTTATACGCTTTTAATTTGTTACTTTTTTTTTATTTAAATCGCTCTCTTTCTACTTGTCCCATCAGTTATATGGTAACTAGAATACATGCAGTGTGTTAGGCAACAGTTGGTAAAAATTTTGAGGAGACGATTCCATAAACCCAGACAAAACAAGAAGAAAATCAAGAATATCAAAATTGCGTTTAAAGTTTCGTCTTTTAGTTATTAACATTTAAAAATATCCCTGTGGTCGAGCAAACCTCCTTACACCAACGGATGTAGGGCACCTCAAGTCACGGGGAGTACAGTGATCCTCAAAACCAACGACACATGGCCTTAAGCTTACCTCGAACAAGTCGTAGAGAAGAAGATAGTAACATTCGATACCATAAACGCCATTAACCCTTTCGCTGCGGCAGATTTTAATACATAACGCGCATGGTAGATCCAGATGTTCCACTACGGCCTCAAAATATTTTCTTTTGGCCGTATCGTTTTAAAACTTGTTTTATTGAATTGAGGTGGAAGTGCGCAAAAGATAAAATTAAGGCTTACATTCAGATGGAAGTGCGCCAAAAGACTCCAATAGCACAGTGCGAACAAATTTTCAAAGCTTCTATAGGTGCCAATAGCAATAAAAAGGGTAACGACTTCTGCTGCACTACCATTTGCTTAATCGCAGCACAGATGCACATCGGAGAATTCTTCAAATGTATATTTGTATCTTGATCTGCCCTGTATTCATTAATGTTGGGAGGTTTGCAGGGAGTTAGGGATATTTTTAACTGTTAATAACTAAAAAACGAAGCCACAAATGCAATTTTGTTATTCTTTATTTTCGTCTTATTTTGGCTTGTAAAATTACCCCTTAAATTTTCTACCAACTGTCTTGTCGAACATCCAGTATATTATATCGTTATTGCACGGTTATTTCAGTAACGCCGTTAGTACAAAGAGTAATCTAAGGCAGGTAGGTAAAAAAGTTTGAAGGGATACTTCCATATGACAAATTAAGACGAAAATAGAGAATGGAAAAATTATGGTTTGTACTTCCTCTGTTAGTTATAACTAGTTAAAAAATGGGCTGTCCAGGACCTGATGCTCGGCAACCTGCCCAGCATCGGTAAATGTAGGGCAGGTGAACGCACGGGGATGCAGTCGTTCTCAAAGGCAGTGGCACGTGGTTTCTAATTTTCCTTTTAGAAACGATGGAGAAGAATTCTGTGATATTCGACTTTGTAAACGCTTATATGACATTTTATCAACAGAATGGTCGACTGAATATTAGATCTCTCTATTCGTTGAAATGTATAAAGCCATATTAAAACTCACACTACGGGTTTTTCCAGTGGAGAAGATTAATGTGCTTTTCAGCACATAAGCATATCTATATGAATAATCTAGAAATGTGCACATCGTGATTATCGACAAAAGTATTTACACACATGCACACATAAAAGTCGATATACGCTCTATAATAATTCCAAAGTAGACAGATTTACTGTTTAACCGACAATTTTCTTTATAAAATGTCGCGGGACAGTTTACCAAGCCAAATGTCGCTGGATTCTTTACCACAGTTTCTACAGAGCAAGCTGAAAATTATGCTCCATTGGTTATGAGAGCCACTGGACCACCCCTGTTGTAAGCTGTCCTACATTCACGGATGTTGGGCGGATGGTCAGGCTGTAGGCTATTTGTTAACTGGTTATAGCTAAAATATGAAGTTGAAATCACAATTTTTACATATTTGATTTTTGTCCTAGTTTATTATATAGAATCATCCTTTGAAATTTCTCCTATTTGTTGTCCAACATCTTACACGTAACACAGTGTACCTTAAATTATTAATGGACAAAGTCCCTTGCAAAGGTTTTTCTTTTTGTATGTACTATTAATGGAAATATCATTCTTCACGTGTGTACACGTATGTTTGTGTAGATATGACAACAAATTTCTTAGCTTACGATATAACAGAAATATAACGAAAAATAGAAGTTTAAAGCTTAATTTGGATGAGATAATTTGTAAAATTTGGGAAAAATTCAAAAAGTCTAACAAAATTCTCATCAAATGGAAGACATAATGAAAAATTTATTTTACAATAGTTTATCGCCGCCAGTGATAAGCTGTGGTTCATGCTGGAGATGTATTCGTTCGTGGACTACTTTACGATACCACCGTCCTTCGTGTCGATATATCTCGATCGGACGTGGATCGGACTGAGGTTCCTCCGAGCCCTACGACTGATGACGGTCCCTGACATTCTCCAGTACCTAAACATTCTAAAGACATCGAGCTCCATTCGTCTCGCCCAACTTGTATCGATTTTCATCTCCGTCTGGTTAACAGCTGCTGGCATCATTCATTTGGTAAGATATTCGTTGCTGTTTTTACATTTAACGTTCTTTCTCGTGTACACTCTCACGTATGGTGAGAGTAGTAATTTTTACCGAAAGTAAAACTAGCAGTTAATTTTTTTTATTATTCACCGACATTTTGTCGTTTACATTTTTTCATTATTATTCAAAATTTTATCGTTTTTAGTGATATTAAATTAGTTGTTGAGTAAATAATACTTTAAGTCACAGATAACGCAGTTGTTCTATGGAATAATTGTGCTACAGTTAACTCATCATTACTATGCACATTTTAAAAAGATTCAAAGAGGACTATCAAAGTGGCATGTACTGTATATAGAAATATGGCTAACTAGGGAAATATAAAACATTTAAACCAGTTTCAATTTGAGCATATCATATTCTTAACGATATTTTATAACTATGGAACGTGGTATGCTGCTGTGTTTAGTGACAAAGTTTCCCATTTATAACTGTCAGGATATTTACCGAATGTGAAGTTAACTTGAAAAATTATTGCAAAATTCTTAAAGCCTTGAAAAATTTCTATTTACTTTGAAACCATATATGTATGTATATTTTAATTGGCCAATTAATGTCTATAAGGTAATAGAAATAGCAAAACGGATAATAATCTACATCAAATATAACACGTGTTCTAATACTTACCACTAACGCTTATTTTAATATAGACGACAGAGTTGGCGTGACACCCTGTGTATACAGTATACAGGGTGAGGTGCATAAAGATTGACAGTTGAATATTATCCAAAATATTTTAGACGGCATAATTTTCAGTGCAATTTAATCTTTTGTGTGTAAAAATGCCAAGGAAATTATAAGATCATTTCCTTCTTTCTAACGGAATAGTATATTTTTTAATATACATAAATGTATTTCACATTTAGATATATTCAATTACTATAGTAATTCGGTCAATCAATATTATAGGTAACGAAAAAGGAATTATATTTTTCCAATCGCAATTACTCACCCTGCTTTAAAAAAAAATTGATGACCTTGAAATATCCTTGACACCTTCGCATTCAAGAAAGTAAATAACGTCCAAAAGTGTGCCTCTAAAATACAGTAGGACACCCTTTTTTTTTTTTACGTGGGGGAAATCCTCATGGACACCCCGCCCCCTGGGGAAGGGGGAGTAGTGTCGGACTCTTACCGACTAAAACCCCACGGCAACCCTCGTCGGACGCGTCGGTGGGACTCCGGGCTCTCGCGTAGCGAACGGAGGGGTGCCGGACCGCTATCCGGGGGAGCCTGGGTCCCCTCCCAGACTCCCCACGGTCCCGGGGCCTCTTGCCGCTTTTGGGGAGTGTACACTCACCCCCCGCGCGGCGGGCTGCCCCGTCACTGGTGGGCGGGGATTTTACTTCCCCGCCCACTGCAGCGGTGCTGTTCTCACTCAGCGCCGCCGCCTTACTCCGCGGCGTATTACACGCCCCGGGGACGGGCCATGCCTTGCTAGCCGCCCCCGCAATGTCCGGCGAAGAGGGTCAGTCCGTTCTCTGACCCTCTCCGCGGCCTCCTTCTGTGACATCGTCTCCTCGCAGAAGGAGGCCACGGCGTTCCAAGACCTCTCACCCGACAACATGGCGGCAACTACCGCCGCCGGGGAGAGGTCCCACTCGATCACTTGTTGGAGAACACGGCGCTGCCTGGAGAATGCAGGACACTCCTCCAGGGTGTGCTGCGCCGTGTCCTCCCCTCCGTTACAGTGGCGGCACTGCGTCGTCGCCTCCCGACCAATCCGACGCAGGTACCCACCGAAGCACCCGTGCCCGGTGAGCACCTGCGTCATACGGTAGGTGAGTCTACCCCGCGTCCTGCCGATCCACCTTTTGAAGACCGGCAGAACCGCCCCCACGGCGCGCATATTGGCAGAAGCCGGCAATGAAAGCCGGCCCGGCCACGCCTCCAAGGCGCGCCGCAGGACACCCTATAACGCGGGAAATATGATACAAATTAAGTTCAACCGACATCGCTTTTTGGGTCAAATTTAATCAACCCAAAATTTCAAAGTTACAAATTCCGAATTTGTATGTTCTGTTTTTCTTTTTTTCGCGTTATACAGTGGCAGTAGCAAATTTTGATCGATTTATACGGTGTCCTACTGTACTTTAATTTTGCCAAATAACATTTTTTAATACAACCAATATTTTTGAAAATATTTCATTGTCATGCTGTACGTGCCTTGCCCTATACAATTGCTTAAATAACGAGAATGAAATAATGTTTGAATGTAACAAAACTATCTGGATAAAATACAAAGTAATCTCATATTAATGAAATAATTTTTTATTAAAGATCTAAGTTGTGCAACGTAGTGCGAGCCTGATAGTATATTTAAAATAACGTTTATTAAATAATCAACGTTAATGCAGTATCGTTCTTTTGTAATACGATTTTAAACTTTTCTCTTAAAAATTTGGTAGAAGTAATAATGCACCTTTGAAATGTGACTATTAGTAACTTTTGCAAAATTATAAGTTTCTCAAAAATGTGTGAAAGCATAACATCAAACATTGTAGGACAACACAAAAATGAGCAATTTATTTTGATCCTTTAAGGGGGTCTTCTAGTGTGACGGCCGTTTCTTTAGGCCTTCTTTGCTAATTTATTAAAGAAGTAGGGTAACAGTTATTAACATGAGCTTTATTCCTATATATTTACTTGTCCTTGAAGAATCCTTACAAATTTTTTTTTGTTGAAAAATAATTAAATATGGCTGCTGTGGCACACGTCAAACAGGAGCATGAAAAAAAAAGTAGGTCCATGGTTGCCATGATTTGAGCTGTTCTGCTTATCAAAAATAAAAAAATCCAATTGATTCTTATTTAGTATGCATGTCGCTATGGTCGGTAGTAGAATAAAAGAAAAATATTGAAAATTAAAAAAATGGCGGCACTTTGAATACGAAGTATCGATTTTTTCGACTTTTTTTCGTCTTTCAGAGGCTCAAAAAATCAGAAAAATTTATATTTTGGCATAATTCTACTACCGACCATAGCCACACATGTTCTGAAGACATGTGCAAAATTTGAGTTCGATTGGTTCGGTAGTTTTTGCCAGATCGTGGCAACCATTTCAGAAAACATGCTCCGAGAAAAATGCGTTTAAAGTTTTCAGTGCAATTTAGATTCTCCCTTGATGTGTCACACTAAACGAGCTATAACTTCGTTATTTTATTGAATACAACTATAAAACTTCAGGAGTACATTCTTAAAGAGTTGTACTTTCGACATATGCAAAAAAATAAAAATCGATTGTTTGAAACTGTCACACTAGAAGACCCCCTTAATCCAGAGCCGATCTCCAAGTAGTTATATGTGAAGTGGTCAGACTTGAGCACGCTGTGATATTCGAGCAGTAGACCACGCCTACTCGAGCAACGATTCTGTCACGTTATGAATGAGTAGTGAATTTATTATTTAGTGATAGCTCGGTCCAAGAGTGAGTACTATGCCTCGAAGGTAGAAGGATAGAAGATAACGAGAAATGTGTGCCCATTCCACATCAAAACGCTATCCTTTCCTATTAACCATGTACTTAGGACATGATACCTTTTTCATTATACTCAGGAGGCTTTGGATTTTCTAGAAAATTGTTCTTCAGCTCAGGAAACTATTTTCACTGTTTGAAAATTAAAGATAAATTTGTATATTGTAATTTTCTTGGTAAAACATAATTTTCAACATTTGAAAAAATATTATTGTATTGCTTGGTGTTTTCTCTACAGTGTCAAGCTTTTGTACGTTATTCATTCGGAAAATAATGTCTCAATAAACCATTAAATGCCGCATAGCGTGCAGGGCTCCTAAAGACGATCGACCGCATTCCTCGTAAACAATTTCATTCGAACGATACTTATTCGTTTTCTGTATTTATTTTTATCAAAATGAACTTTTAAGATTAATTTTTAATTGCAGATGCAAGACCAATTCGAAAACCGATTTTTACGTATTAAGGACAAGAAAAAGTCTGTAATTTTTAAAAGAACAAGTTTGCGCAGTAAATTTTATGTTATCTTAATTAGGTTTTAGAGAATATTCTGGACGATAAAGTAAGACTGGATGGCTTCTAATAATCCATATGTATATTAAAATCTGATCCATGGTTAGATGATATAGCTAAAATTGTATGAATTACAATTTGATTTCCGATTACGTTTTTATGGTCTTTCAGAGACTTTGGAAAAGATACAATAAATTCATGTCTAAAGTCGGACGGATTGATTTGCGGTCTTCTTGCTGCAAATTTTTTTAAAAAGAACATGCTTGACTTGCTATAGGACCCTTACACGTTTTTTAAATATAACGTGTGCACAAAATAGACATCGTAAAAAAAAGTTAAAGTATTATGATATATTTTCTTCTGATTTATATAAATAAAATTTCACTTACAAAACAAGAACAAATATATCAAAACCATTTCAAAAGATTTGCGTATTTTTGTACGAACTTTATTGGGGAAAAAAGCGTACAAAGGAATAAATTTAATCATCGATGTAACTTTCTCTTTTTTCAATGACTTCTTGCCATGGTTTGAAAAATTCGGTGGGTTCTGAATTAAGAAATGTATCGATCGCAGTTTTTGTTGCCTCGTCATTTCCACGTAGAAAATTATTTAAACTTCTAAATAAGTAATAATCAGAGGGGGCTGTGTCAGGGGAATACGGAGGATGTGGTGAAACTTCCATGATAAATTTTTCAGTTTTCCGGAAGTGACTTTCGCGACATGCGGTCTAGCATTGTCATGTTGAAAAATTAAGCCTTTTAAAAAACTGAAAAACTTATCACGAGAAGTTTTACCACATCTCCCGCATTCCTCTGACATGGCCCCTTCTGATTATTACTTATTTAAAATGTTAAATCATTTTCTACGTGGAAATGACGGAGCAACAAAAACTGCGATCGATACATTTCTTAATTCAAAACCCATCGAATTTTTCAAACGATGCATCGACCACTTGGTGAAACGGTAGCAAGAAGTCATTG